TCTGTTTAGTACTTTCTCGGTCTGCGCCCCCTCACTGCAGACACCCTGGCACAGCCAAACACCATACCCACAGCGTGGGGCTGGTGGAATAAAGATACTCTCCCTGGCCCCTTGACCAGAGTATAGGAGAACCTAGGGACACACTGTGTGATGCTGGAGGCCGAGGAGAGGTTTGTTCACCTCACAGGCGAATCTCTAGGGAAATGAGGATGGAGTTACCCTTATGTGAATTCTCTAAGTTCAGTGGATGAGAGTGGTGGGCTGTAAATGGTGTGGTCAAGGCCTAATATGCACAACAAATAGATTTTTAAAAAATTAACCACAGAAATATGATAAAATCAATTTTAAGTTAAAAATTACTTTATTCCCACCTGTAACAAGTCAGCTTTTCCAAGATCTCCTCTAGGCTGTGTGAACATTCCTGACTCTTACATATTGTTTTCTTTCCGCTTCCTTGTGTTATGTCTTTCTAGCCGTGCACATTAACGACTTGCCGGCTTGTTAGCACATGGATGGCCTCAACCTCTGTGGACACAGAGTGACGCCAGCAGTGACACAGAGGACACTGAAATTTGTCATCCCTGTGCGTAGCTTTTTCTCTCTGGTCTGATTCCTTGGGAGCATCCCCAGAGTAGGATTAAGAAACCTAAGTGAATCTTATCAGGACTAACACTGTGGAGATGTGATTTTGTAAGTAAGATTACAATCGGTTACCTCCGTTACTGAAGGCCTGGTGATGACAACGCCCAAAAAATATATATCCAATTCATTCTGAAAGCACCTCCTGAAGGTCACAGAGACATCCCTGTCCTGACACTTAGAATTGCATTGCTTAATTTCCAAATATACAACATTCCTAGCTGCCTTTGTTGTGAAGCCCTAAGGCTCCATCCTACTGCTAACATCTGTGCGAAGGCCACCCTTTGAAACTTGTGGAGACTTGTTTATAGCTTATCATGTGGCTGAATTTTACAAATTTTGTAAATGTTCCTCCTGTACTGAGAATTTTTACGGTTTCGGTACCCTGTAGATATTTCCTATTTTGTCTACTCTTAATACAGTAAGTGTAGCTTTCCTGGGATTTTCAATGTCAGAGCTCTGTTCTGAGGTTTCTGCTGGTTCTAGTGGTGGGCATTCACTGTGCAAGACACTCCTGCCCCAGGGACACTGGAGAGTTTAAGGCCTTCGGGAGGGTGGGGGGCATCAATTTTCCTCTGCACCTGGAGAACTGGTCAGCCCAGGACTCCTAGCTAATCACTTTTGGAGGGTGTTTGGGCTGCTAAATGATGTGCATTTGGACTGCAGCAACTTTCCCCCATTTGTCCCCTGGTCTGCAGTAACTTGGCAGCTGCTTTCGGGGGAAGGTTTATTACTAAGACAATATCCATGATTTTCTGTTGTTTTCACATGGAGGGGATAGATAGCCCCAGCCACTGAAAATAAGTATCCTGGTTCTTTGATGAGAATTCTCCAGTGACCCACACTCAACAGAGGGCACTGGGAACACATTCATTTTTCTGTGAATCAATATTTGCCCTCCAGAAGCTGAATTAATCTGAAGTAATTTGAGATTGTTATTAAACTACTCTGTACTGTGGAATAAGAATGAAGCCTGTTGCTTTGTTTTGGTCTCAGTGCTCTTGTGGGAGGGCAAAGGAACATAGAAACCAAAGCGTGGACCTGAGCTTATAGTCACAAGACACATTCAAAGAATTATAAATATTAAGGATTTAATAAACATTTATTACTTCACAAATGCTTTATATTGTATATCATATACAATATAACAACCAATTGCACTAATAGCCTTCACATATTCAGGGAATCACCATTTCTTTTTTTTAAGATTTTATTTATTTATTCATGAGAGACACAGAAGAGAGGCAGAGACACAGGAAGAGGGATCCCTGGGTGGCGCAGTGGTTTAGCGCCTGCCTTTGGCCCAGGGCACGATCCTGGAGATCGAATCCCACATCAGGCTCCCGGTGCATGGAGCCTGCTTCTCCCTCTGCCTGTGTCTCTGCCTCTCTCTCTCTCTCTCTCTCTCTCTGTGTCTCTGTGTGTGACTATCATAAATAAATACAATTTAAAAAAAAAAGAGAGACACAGGAAGAGGGAGAAGCAGGTTCCACGCAGGGAGCCCAATGCAGGACTTGATCCCGAGACCCTGGGATCATGACCTGAGCCAAAGGCAGGTGCTCAACCTGAGCTAAGCCACCCAGGGGTCCCAGGAATCACCATTTCAAGATATTTCTAATAAACCCAATATTTAAGTCAATATTGAGCCAAAACACTAAGGCTGGAGCTGAGTTCAGATAATAACACTAAGGTATTATCTGAATAATCAAATAAAAATAGGCTTTGCTGTCTATTTTGTGCAAAGTATAAATAGAAACCTTATAATATTAAACATACAAACCTAACTCAATATTAAAAAATTCTTTTCTTAAAAATTCAAAAAATTGAAAGTATCATGGATTGGATCTCAGAACAGAAAAAGAATGTTAGTAGAAACTGACATTGACACTTATTATTAATTAAACTACAGGCTTTCCAATCTTCTACTTTAATGAGTAATTCTGTGTTGCATATAAACCCTTGACAATGTTTCAGATTTTTTCCTCGGATAGTTTGCAAGGAGTTACTGGTTAACTGAGATTTCTGGTCTAATATTGTTAGGAATATGTTAAGAAACTGGGCGCCTGGGTGGCTCAGTTGGTTGAGCATCTGACTCTTGATTTTAGCTCAGGTCATGATCTCCTGGTCCTGTAATTGGCCCCATGCTCAGTGGGGTGTCTGCTTCAGGATTCTCTCTCTCCCTCTGTCCCTCCCTCCCCACCCCTGCCACATGCACCCGAATGCTCTCTCCCCCCTCCCTAAAATAAATATTTCTGAAAATAGTATGTTAAGAACCAAACTTAGTTTGAGCCTGGATGGGTGGGTGTACCATGCAGCAGACAGTGATCTTTCTGGTTCAGTGTGGGGTATATCTAGTTGTTCCAGATCCTCTGCTGTGGGACCCCACAATCAAGTTAGATTAGATAAAAAAAATGTTAATTGAATGGTTAATCAGTTAAGAGTTAACATAGTGAGTGGGAAGAACAGGAGTAAGACTCCAACTTGAGATCACTTATTTGATAAGGTGCATCAATAACAATGCGTGTATCATAACCACTATGAGTAGCCACATTGCTAAAAAAATAAAAAATTAAAAAAAATAAAGCCAAAAAACCCCACCCAAAGAACCTTTATTTTTTTTCAAAGATTTTATTTATTTATTCATGATAGACACATAGAGAGAGGCAGAGACACAGGCAGAAGCAGGCTTCCCACAGGGAACCTGATGCAAGACTGGATCCCAGGACCCTGGAATCATGACCTGAGCCAAAGGCAGATTCTCAACCACTGAGCCACCCAGGCATCCCCCAAAGAACCTTTAAACATCATTTTTTCTATCCAGCTTCTCCTTGGCCCTCCATCTGTGGTCTATCACACAAACATGAGCAAGCTGGACAGAACGATGCCTCCATTCCTCAGTTGACTGACAGTGATGTTGAGCATTGCAGGATTTCTCAGCATGTATGGAAGACAAGCTTCAAGAAAAGAGAAAGAATCATATACAGCCAGCCCCACAACATGAATAAAAAAATCTCGGAGTACCAGTTGGGGATTCAATCATTATCATTAATACCATTATTTCATTAATGGCAGGGATTCCTTGAACATCTATTGAATATTGGACTTGACCAATGACAATAATGGATAAAGGAAATTAATTATTTTAGCAGAATTCCTCTGAATATAACATGTAGATTTTATAGGCTAAGAAACCTTAATGAAGCCTTATGTCTTAAAGTGCCAGCTATATTTTTCAGGCAGTAATTCTTGCATCTATTTTCTACTGTATATGCATGATTTTCTAAAGTTAATACATGTGAACTGAAATAAATTCATTTTGAAAAATCCAACTTTTAAACTGTTAATACACCAACAATTTTTCCAGCTGCCAAACGTTTGAAAAGCATTGGAACAAGCTAAGTGCAGCATACTTCAGCCACCTAAAGCCAGACAGGAGAAAGTCATATTCTGATTTTATTCACATCTTATTTTTCCAAAGTCTGATTCAATTTAGGCTTGGCTAATTCTCTTTCAGACTGACAGCCACTGAATCATGCTCATATGGAGAACACAATTCTTCATAAAATTCCCCTTTTCTGCTCTGTTTTGTTTATTGACACATAGCTGAACAGTGAACCTCTAATCACAAATTCTGCACCAGAATGTTTCTGTGATGGGTATGATGATGTCATGACAACTAGCAAACTGAAATGAAAATAATATTGCTATTTTGTCATTAGCCAATTCCTCTAATCATGTCATTTCTAAAATTATGCCTATGATTCTGACAAAGATGAATAGCTCAATGGATATTCTAGTACTACCATCCCTTCATCTCTGTCACGGAAAACCCATCCCAACCAGATAAAAGCCACAGAGAGAGGAATGGCTTCAAATGGCTAAAACTTTCTATACCTAATCCTCAAGTCAACTGGAAAAAAAAAAATGAAGATCTGTCACCTAAGCTGCAAATAAAAATATTTGAAGTTGTCCAAATTATTGGACATGATTCAAATCATTGGATAATGATTCAAAGATAGGAGGGAAAGGGGATAGGTTCCGGAGGCAGGATCGGGGAGGGAGGAGACAAGGAAAGCACAGCTAGGGAAGGAAGGAAGCAGGAAAAGAGGGAGAAAGAGAAGGGGAACATCAGCTAGGGAAGAAACTCCTTCCCTTTACAACTACGGGACAGGTGAGCAGTGGACATCAAAATGGCATCACTAAGCTACTTAAGTTCGCTGGAGAAAATACCCTTTAGAGTGGAAGGAGCTTCAATTCTCCTTTGTTGAGATATCCTCTTGCCCTTTTTTTTCTCCTTGGCTTGGATGCCATGACAACTGTCAGCTGACCCAGCAAACACAACCCTCTGCTTTCTGCACCAGGCCACTAGTAGAAATGAGCAGCTGGTTTTGCTGTTTGAGATGCAGAGAGTCCCCAGGCCAGCTCTTCTCTGCGGCAGAGACTACCTGCAGCACACCTGGGAGAAAGCCTACCAGGATCACAGGAGAAAGGTAGGAAAGGTGGGTGCCAGCCCAGATGGCTCAGAGCAGGTACCAAAGCAGCACCCACAGAATGCCAGGGCTTTCCCTGGAAACCAAAAGCTAATTTTATTTTCAGAGATGGAATGGTTAAAATGATATTTCCTTAAAACATTGGTCATATGCGGGGATCCTTGGGTGGCTCAGCGGTTTGGCACCTGCCTTCAGCCAGGGCGTGATCCTAGAGACCTGGGATCCAGTCCTATGTCAGACTCTCTGCATGGAGCCTGCTTCTCCCTCTGCCTGTGTCTCTGCGTCTCTCTCTCTCTCTCTCTCTCTCTTTCTTTCCCTGTGTGTGTGTGTGTCTCTCATGAATAAATAAATAAAATCTTAAAAAAAAAACATTGGTCATATGCATTGTCATACAATAAAAATTACTTTAGGGATCCCTGGGTGGCGCAGCGGTTTGGCGCCTGCCTTTGGCTCAGGGCGCGATCCTGGAGACCCGGGATCGAATCCCATATCGGGCTCCCGGTGCATGGAGCCTGCTTCTCCCTCTGCCTGTGTCTCTGCCTCTTTCTCTCTCTCTCTGTGACTATCATAAATAAATAAATTAAAAAAAAAAATTTAAAAAAAAAATAAAATAAAATAAAAATTACTTTAAATGGATTGTGACTCTCATGTGTCATATTTTAGGACTCTGAATCATGGCATGTTTACAAAGTACTTAATTTTTCCTAAATGACTTGAAATATCTTAGGACACAAAAATCTGAGGGACCCTCTTCCCTGTCAAAACAGCATATTCCAATGTGAACTAAAAGCCGACTTTTATCTCCACTTGGAGATATGCTATTATTTCCATTATTTGATGCAAATGTGGGTATCATTTGAGAAGTTCACCTTGTGCTTTTGAAAGACCTGCTGTGATGGTCTTCTGCTGCTGGGACGTCAGTGGTGCTACCCAACCACCCGATGCTCAGCTGGTGCTGTCTCTCTGTGCCTGTGTTCCTCAAGCTTGAGAAATTCTCTTAAGAAGGGAATAACCTGAGAAGGGGGTGTTGCTCTGTGATGCTCTGAAGGCACCTCCCCAGAGTGGGGGGACCCAAGTTTTCGGCAGGATACAAGTCCAGATGAGCCTTTCTACTGCCCCTGGGGTTCTACCTGCCTGGGTTGTGGTAACACCGTAGCCTCAGGGAAATCACACTTACTGCAAGGCTGCTCTGGTGCCCACCCCAACCTGGGCCCACCACCTGTGGCCCTCCGGACCGTCCCAGGGCTCACCCTCACTTCCTCAGACCTCCAGGCCTCCTACAATCTCCTGTGTGCCCATTACTTTCTGGTTCCTTGTTCTTCCATCTCATGTCGCCACATGATTGAAGTAACATATTTATCTTGTCTTGTTTGTTTCCCCCATCTGGTGGGGGGGGCGGGCGGTGGCTGCATCATGCTGTTATGACATCATCAGCACATAGTGAGTCATACTTAGCAAATACTTGTTGGCAGTGAAGAACTGAAAGAGAGCTTATGGTAATAATACAAAATCAACTGGCATTGCCTCTTTGAATAACAGATAAGAAAGGAAATGCATGAGGGTTTCATTGTTCATCTGTGCATCCCAGGGACTAGACTCATCTCTCATAAGAGGTAGTGGTCGATAAACAGCCTCAGGTACGTAAATAACTCTGCTCTGTGCCTAAGAAACTGTAAGATAAAGAAGATTTGCAATTGTCATTGTATGAAGCAGGGAACTGATGAAAGGGGAAGGTGGTGTGCCAGCATTTGGCCCCGGGCCCAGGTGTGGTTGTGGAGCATGAAATTCTGTTGCCCCAATGTGCCCCCCTCTGAGGTGTCTCAGGAGCACAGGGTTGCTGGCTGTAAGCACGGAGTGCTAAAACACCCTAATGTGGCGTGGCCAGCAGCGGAGGATGTGGGGCAGGGGAACCCATGCTCCCAGCATCAGGTGTTAAAGGGAGGGAATGACGTGAAGACGGGGAGCAAGTCTCAGATACAGTCAACTAAGAAAGCTGAAAAGTGGGACCCCTGGGGGGCTCAGTGGTTGAGTGTCTGCCTTCTGCTCAGGGAGTGACCCCAGGGTCCTGGGATCAAGTCCCATGTCGGGCTCCCTGCATGGAGCCTGCTTCTCCCTCTGCCAGTGTCTCTGCCTCTCTCTGTGTGTCTCTCATGAATAAATAAATAAAATCTTAAAAAATAAAAGCTGAAAAGAAGGGAACTGTGGGTGTGGAATGGGGCACCTAGAGCCAGAGGGGCCGTTCCCAGCGGGGCTGGTGCCAGGAGTCTTGGCAGGCGTTTGCTGGAGGGGATAGATCAGGACAGAATGGAGGGTTCAGGTAGCTGGTGTGGAACTCATTGTGGAAAGACAAGGCTGCGGTCCAGATGGCGAAGGCCCCGGTGACTGAGGGAAACACGGGTTAGTGATAGGAAGGAGAGGAGAAGAGAGGATGGGGCATGGTGGCCACACTGCCCTTCTAGAGGCAGCAGCAAGAACTAACGCCAAATGGCACCTGCTGGCACCAACACTTGGCTTAAAGCAAATGCTTCTTCCATATTAAGAGTAAGGGGCATTAGCTCTTTAGAGTTACTTAATTTCTTACTACTTGGCTGAGAGTCCTTGGGAACACATAGGACTCTGATGCAATAGAAGGGAGAAAAGGATTTGCAGGTGAGTGCTGTGCCCACAGCATCTGTTGAGCGAGTGCCGTTCTCAGTCTGGCGTCCCAACAGGACTTCATCTCTTACAGCCTGAACAACTAGTCATGCTTTAAAATAAAATTTAAATGACCTTAATAAAATAGAAATCACTGCTGATACTTCCCTAACATAATGAGATAAAATATCTCAGTCCTAAGACAGTACTCAAGTAACAGTGAAACACTAAAGGTATTCCCTGTAAAGTAAGAAATAGGACAAGGATGCCTACTATCTCATATACTCTTTTGATTTGTGTTGGAGGTATTAGGAAGCAGACAAGACAAATCCATTAGGCATGAAAATGTAATGAAGTAGGTAATGGTTTGTTTTTTTTTTTTTCTATTTGCGGATGAAATGATTAAATATCTAAAGAACCCAGAAGAATCAATGGAAAAACAAATATAAATTGGGAAAAATAATTGTGACTTATATCACAAAGGGTTAATATCCTTATCTATAAAGAACTTCTAAAAAGAAAAAGAAAAATGCACACCACCTCACATGAAGATGGGCAAGGAGTATGAACAAGAGTTCAAAGAAAAAGAATTGCAAACAGCTCTTAACCTGTAAAAAAGTCAGTTCACTTCACTTGGAGAAATGCAAATTAAATCTACACTGTAATATCATTTCTCAACTAACAGGTTGGCAAAAATCCCCCAAATTGTTGGCAGTGCTTTGGAGAAAGAGGCACTATACACAGTGTTGGTGGGCATTTAGCAGGCACAGCCCCCCAGGGATTTAGCAAGCCCTAATGCCAGTGCACACATAGTTAGCCTTTAATCCAGAACTACCCATTCCAAAGGCACACTGGCAAAGAAAAGAAATTGCAAAAGATACTAACTCCAGCAGTATCTGTAATAGCAAAATCGAAGCTAGCCCAAATGTCCATCAAAAGCAAGCTGGGTGAATAAGTTAGGATGCTTCTACATGACGATATAATATGCGATACAAAAAAGAACAGGAAACCTCTCTGTGTGCTACTATAAAATTAGCCTAGAATGCATTGTGAAATGGAAAAGGCAACGTGAAGAAAAATGTGTAAAAAACACTACATTTGTCTAATAAAGTGCCAAGAGTCCTGGGAAATGGGCATCCTGTCCGGGCAGGAATGACAGCTGCAGACTGTGGCAGGGTAAGCATGAGTATGTCAGTGGATGGCCAGCCCTCTGCTTCAGCCACCACCTTCTTTAAAAAGTCTCGTGATTCCTGTGTTACTATGGATGCTAGTATGTGGGTGTATCTTTCCAGAAACTTTTAGGAAGGACCTCCTCTTTACTACTGATGTTCTGACATTTTATGATGACATACTTTCATGTGAATCTCTTTGAGTTCATCCTGATGGATTCTTTCATTTTAGAGACCTTGAAAATTCTATCCCTTACACTTTCTTTTTCTTTTTTTAAGATTTTATTTATTTATTCATGAGAGACACATAGAGAGATGCAGAGACACAGGCAGAGGGAGAAGCAGGCTTCTTGAGGGGAGCCCAATGCGGGACTCCATCCCAGGACTCCAGGATCATGCCCTGGGCCGAAGGCAGAGGCTCAACCGCTGAGCCACCCAGATGTCCCCCCTTTTACTTTCTAGAAACCCTACAAGTTATATGTCTGAGACCCAATATTGAGCCTTTAGTTTCCTTTTATTTTCTCGTCTGCTGCCCATCTCTCTATTTCTGGCTCACTTTTGGGAGGTTTCTTGGTTTTATCCTCAGCTCCTTAATTCAATTTATTTCAGCATTAATTTTCAAGGACTATTATCAGTAATTACTCTCTTTTCCTAGAATACCCTTCTTGTTTTAGGGATGCAGCATCTCTTTTGTCTCTCCAAGATTGTTACTTAACGTTTACTTGATATTTTCCTCTGTTCCTTTCATCGTCTCTGTCTCTTCAAGGTCCCCTGTTTGGTTTCTTCATTTCTCACTTTCGTGTTGGAACTATCTGTCCAGTGTCTGGAAGATGAAGTACTAGAAATTGACTGAGGCTCTGCATGCTCTGGTTAGTCCAGTTTTGTGGACTCCCCATGTCTGGGCATGGGGTCTTTGGAGCAGTGATCCTCACGGAAATCTGCCTAGAGAACCTAACTTTTTAGGCACTGAGCCAGGAGGAGCCCTGAACCCCTCCTCTCCCCCAGCCACACACACACTGTGCCCTCAGCCAGAGTCTTCCACACTCATATCTCCAGAGGCATGGAAGACAACTGCAGGCATTCCCTGCTTCTTGCAAAGACTCAACCAGGAAAAAAAAAAAAAAAAAGACTCAACCAGGCCCCAGCTCTGGGCCTCGCCAGGCACTGTGGTTGCTGGTATCTCTCAGTGCTGAGCATCTTAGTGGTTCTTTCAGGTGAACCCTGTCATTCTCTGTCTCCCCTCAGCTGCTCTCTCTGACACCCACATCAAACACTCCAGACTTTACCCCAAGATCGACATCTGTTGGTGATTGTGCCCGAACCAGTCTGTACTATGATGGTTATAAAATGGCAATGTTTCAATGTCTCCACCCCCTCCACATTTAGCAACTGTTAGGAAGAGTATCTTCTCCTCTATATTTAGTGTGTATAATAGATGAGAGGGAGCTTCTCGGAAGACAGTATGTTCAAAAGACCTTGATCAAAAGTAAGTGCTATAATATGGCAAATTAGTGTCATATTTTTAATAACTATAATTAGTCTGAAATTTTTATCTGCAGCCCAAACTAACTTACTATGGATAGTTACACACAGTCACCCAACACAGGATTTACTGGCTACCCTCCAAACTGCTCACCACCTCTCTTCACGTCTTGCTGTCACCAGGCATCAAAACTGCAAGCCTCAGACCTTTCTTCATCACTTCTTTCTCCCTCACCTCCACCCCCACAGACATGTGCTTCCAGGAGGTCTGTCTCCTATGGACCCTTCTTCCACCATCACTGGCATTCCTCTGCTCACCATCCCACAGCCCTAAGTGACTGGCCACCCCACCTCTGGTCTTCTTTTCCTCCATGGTAACAGTGGGCCTTCAGGTCACGTACATGGTTGTGTTACTCCCTTGTCTTTGTTCTTTAGTCTTCCCTCATATTAGGGGCCAAGTGTCAATTCCTAAGTGTGCCATCCAACCTTCCCACCATCTAACCCTTTAGCCCTGTCCTGGCTCTCTGCATGTGAGCTCTGCTCCACCACTGCATGGCTCTGCGGATTTAATTCCCAGAGTGAGCAATGCTCACGTTATCATTTCAGACAGACTCAGTTGGTGGGGTTTCCCAACATTGTCTCATGCAGATTATCGGCTAAGAGGACCAAGTAGCTGGTGGTCTAAAAGCAAGTATCTAGAGTATTGGGGGGGGGTCCCTTTTGTTGCAGATGGTAATACATATGGCCCTCATGCATTTACTCCATCTTACTTTAAAACATAAATTTTCTTCCTTTGTCCATTTTCTGATAGGAAGGTGCAGAGATCATTTTGAGTTAATCCATGTTTCAGGAGCTCATCCTGAACATATTGCTGGCTCAGAAATTAGAGTGAAGGCAATAGAGTTTCATAATTCACTCCTTTTTAAAGGCCTCTGGAGACAGAATAGAAATGTCTACTGACACTTACATTTAATGAATTCTTACTCCACGTCTACTTAACTCTCTACTTGAGAACAACAATGTAGGCTCATTTCCCAGGGCTGCCTGTTTCCCTCCAGGGGCATTTGGGTTCTGACTCAAGTCTTGAGCACCATTGAAGACTATCTGTCCCAGGCTGACTTGGAATCTTCGGTTTCACAACCATCTATACTCATTCCTGGTGCCATAGCCCAGAAGCTGCCCAATCTGAGTTCATGTTAGTTACCTGCTAACAGCGTGCCTGGGGTCACACTGCCTCTCTGCACTGCAGATCCAAGACGCCCAGCCTCTTGTGGACACCAGCGCCCCTCTGAGCTTCAGTCACCTCCACCTGAAATTCAAGAAGCTGAAGGTAAGCTTCATTCTACTTCTCAGTTACTGGTGTAGCTAACAAGAAAACATCAGCTAGGGCAGCCTGGGTGGCTCAGCGGTTTAGTGCCGCCTTCAGCCCAGGGCCTGATCCTGGAGACCTGGGATCGAGTCCCACATCGGGCTCCCTGCATGGAGCCTGCTTCTCCCTCTGCCTGTGTCTCTGCCTCTCTCTCTCTCTCTCTCTCTAATAAATAAATTAAAAAGCTTTAAAAAAATCAGCTCAGAAACCAGGGAAATGGAAAATGCAGGCTCAGTAAGGAATAAACAGTCCCTGTTATCGACGATGACATGTTGTGTCAGCAGCCAATTAACCTCATCTCGCCAGAACAGAGCTGGTGGGTGGTAGGTGCACCAGGAGTCTTCTCCAGTCTTCCTGCTAACTTTTTGTCTCCAGGAAGAGAGGGCAGGAAGGGGCAGGAATGCACAGTGGCAAGTTATTCACTGCTGCTGTATAGCAATCGATTAGTACCCTTCCCTTAAACATTTCTTTAAAATAAAATTTAAAAAAGTAAAAAAAGATAATAAGCAGGACCATTTCTTTACCACCAGAGAGTATTTATTTCTTGAAGTGTAAGCCATCTAGTTAGAATAAGACTCTCATAGTTAGGCTGATAGTAATGCCTCTGAAGCAAGATGCTATGTGCTCTTTATGTGACTGTTAGTAATGATAATTGAAGCGGGCAGAACAGAAGCTAACTAATCATTGTCAGGCAAACCAGCAGATGAATCTATTTCAATACCTAAAGCAAGTGGATTTTCATTTCCTCTGGGCTCCAATCTTCTCTTCTTCTGAACAATATAAAATACCTCTCTTAAAACATGAAGTGATTTCCTCATTAGCATCACTGTCACAGAGTGTTGGAGGGTGACCTAATTTCACAAAGAATCATAGCATCCTCGCTGTTATCTCCACTCTGAGCCTATGTAATTTAATCCCATCCTAATGTATTCCAATTAATAGAGAAAGGAGCCTGCATGTGTCACACTGGTCACTGAAGCTACAGCAGCACTTACTGATATTTGAAGAAACAATGTAAACCCCACAGTGTGCTTAAGTTACAGGAAAGAGGGTTGAAGGAATCCTCTAAACATGATTTTATGTATTTATTTGAGAGAGAGAGAGAGAGAGACAAAGTGAGAGAGAGCATGAGCAGGCATAGGGGCAGAGGCAGAGGGAGAAGCAGTCTCCCCACTGAGCAGGGAGCCTGACCAGGGACTCGATCTCAGGACTCTGAGATCATGACCTGAGCCAAAGGCAGAGGCCTTCTGACCAACCACCTGGTTGCCCCAGGATCTTCTAAATAAATCTGCACAGTAACAACACAGACATGGCTGGTGTTTCAAAAGGTTCCTCGTGTGTCTGTCCACAGCTGGAGGAAGAACGGCTCGCCGTCATTGACCGGGACAACCGTCTGCTGCTGGAGAGGTTGTCCTGCATCATGAGGACCATGGGACAGGCTGAAAGTAGAAAGAGCCACACACAGAAGAGGTAACTGAGGTCCCTGCACCCTGCAGTCAGCACTAAAGCCAGTAGGGCCCTGTGTGCTCTGCTCCAAGACCCGCACAGAAGAGCTGCCCCTGAGCCACAACACAATGCTCCCATCCTCCCTGCAGAGAGCCCTCTGCCTTTTCCTTTGTGGTCCACGAGTCAAAGTGTTACGTGAGGCTCATTCTACACCCACAACAGAACAAAGACCCACACGGCAGCTCTCACTGCTCACATGAGCTGTCCAAAGCCTCCTACATTGGCTTCCTATTTAAGCCTCAAATTCATCCCACAATGGGCAGGCTATCATACTTCTCGAGGTACAGATGGAGACACTGAGGCACCAAGATGGCATCTAGGAAGTGGGGGAAGCAGGTTCCTGCCCCAGGCCCTGTGATCAGGCAGTTCTCATACATTTCCATCTGCAAAAGCAGCCTAGATTGTTATTTTCCTGCCAGCACAAGGCTGGGCCCAGCGTCTGCCTGGAAACAGCATCAGAGGTCATGTAATTGTGTCTCATGTGTGAGGGTGACTGTTCCTGTTTCCTACAGGGGAGCAGTGGGGATGCTACTCGCTTCAACAACATGGCATTTCCCCAAAGTGGAGCTCTCTATGGGGAGGGAGAAGAGCAAGCCTCCATGGCCTCTAAAATCTTCCTACAGTTATTTAGAAACAGTCATTAATCCTAAAAGTCCTTCTTTAAGGTAAACTACCCCTGGCCCCTGCACCCCACAAGTCCCCAGAATTTGCTCACCGGTCACAGTACTGTCCTTTCTTGTCAAATGCGAAAGTTCCGCAGTGCCCGTGATGGACGCTTGTGATGCAGGCAGGTTTTCAGAGGTGCTTAATCCTTCTGAAATCTTTAACCTGGACCCGTCTCCGAGAAGCTCAGGGTAGTTTACAGATTTCACAATAAATTACAATTTGGTTGACAGCAAGCACCAGGAAGTGTGTCTTAGAGGAGGGCTGTAGGGGCTCTGCCTGAAGCTCTGTGGGAGGGGCAGGTCCTGCACTCCTGTGGGGCGGGTGTGTGGAAGCAATCTGTCTCTAGGTCCTCCAGCAGTGGTTCACCTGGGGCTTCACTCTGGAGTATCTGGTGGGATGGGGAGCAGGCCTGGTGTCAGTAAGGCCTCCGTGCTTCCTGGCTGCACCACTGTCCAGCCCCTGTCATTAAAAGCCTGCGGTTACAGGTCAACCTCCATATTCCTGGGATAGTTTACATAAGATTTGGAATCACTTTCTGCTCTAAAGACAGATATTTAACTTGAGGATACAAATCACTGTTGAGTGCTACTTACCTTAAGCTGTAATGAGGGAGCCTAAGCTAATAATTAATCTCCATCCAACTCAACCCAGGACAGAAGCCTACTGGGAGATGCTCCCACCTGCTGCCTAGATTCTCTATGAAAAACACAAGTCCCAACTAGCCCGGAGGTAAATCTATACAATCAAGTGGCTTCCCCCCTCAGAACCTGCCTGATTTGTCACACACAGGACAGTACTGAAGAAGGAAGGAAAAGAGGAAGCAGAAGTGATCTCGGGGAGGTGCCAGCCAGTCAGAGAGCCACAGGAAGAGCCTCAGCTTGAACAAAGCAGCCAGGCTTGAGGAAACCTGAAGGGACATGAAGTGCCCTAGGTGACCTGCAAGCCGACCCAGCTCTTCCCATTCCAGGAAATTAGCTCCTCAGGCTTTGCAAGTTACACACCACCTCCTTGCCCTGCTTGGATTTTAAAGCAGGCAAAGAACGTTTATGCCTTTCCTACATATTTCTTTTTATTCTACTCCGGACTGAGAATGAGTGTGGCACACTCTGGGCTCAGACTCAGAATGAATTCAGCTTTACTGTGGCTCTGAAGTCTCCTATCTTGAAGTAGTTGGCACCAAGCTAATTCAGCTAATGGCCCAGCACACAATAATGGTAAAAATGGTGTGTCCCTCAAATACCCACCATTTGCTTCAACGTGGATGGAACTGGAGGGTATTATGCTGAGTGAAGTAAGTCAATTGGAGAAGGACAAACATTATATGTTCTCGTTCATTTGGGGAATATAAATAATAATGAAAGGGAATATAAGGGAAGGGAGAAGAAATGTGTGGGAAATATCAGAAAGGGAGACAGAACACGAAGACTCCTAACTCTGGGAAACGAACTAGGGGTGGTGGAAGGGGAGGAGGGCGGAGGGTGGGGGTGAATGGGTGACGGGCACTGAGGGGGGCACTTGATGGGATTAGCACTGAGTGTTATTCTGTATTTTGGTAAATTGAACACCAATAAAAATAAATTTATTATAAAAAAAATGGTGTGTCCCTTTGTCATTAGTTTAATGGAGCCCCACCAAGAACGAAAGTCTATGATTTTTGTTAGGAATGCTTCAATTTGAGCCTGATAACTGATGTGGGAAACAAAGGCAGAAGAGAAATTATTAAATTTCCTTACTCCCTACAGCCCATAGACACATCCTTGAAACAGGCAGAGTGACCTTCCTCTAGGGACTCATCTGCCTCTATGTTGATACTTTGCTTAGGGCAACAGGCAATCTTAGTTCTATCTCCAGGATCCTGTGAGTCTACTTTAACATACAAAAATTCCTTTGGAAAAAAAAAAATTCCTTTGGAAACTTTCTTTATCTCCCCCCCCCAGATATATGTTGGCAGTCACCCCCAAGTATATGACCCTCTGATATACATCCAAAGAGTCTCATGACTGAGATTTTACTAAACAGTAATAAGTGACCTTTCCTATCAATAGATGCTAGCACCCTCAGGATCCTGAAAACCTTGTTTCCAAAATATGTGGGGAGGCTTACCCCTTCCAAACTTGAAAGTGTATAATGGGGCACTCCTTATGACCCCAGTAGCTCTTTTTGCCATGCCAGTCCTTATGCTTTAATAAAACCACCTTTTTTCACCAAAGATGTCTCAAGAATTTTTTCTTGGCTGTTGGCTTTGAACTCTAACATCTTCCCTACATCAGTAACTGGCCATTTCATTTCTCTGTCCCTTACTTAATAAAAGACACTTGTCAAGTTAACACATGGTGTGGAAGAGAAACAGCCCAGAACACTGCAAACTAGTTGGTTCAAGCAGTTAGGCAGCTAACTACTCGATAGCCAAAAGTCAACACTATAAGAGAAACTGTATGACCAACAATCAAGTTTTCACTCTTCATTTTATTTTTTTATGGCTTTATTGAGATTATAACTGGCATCTGGTAAACTATATATTTATAGTATACCAATTGACAAGTTTGGCATGCTTTATACCTGTGAGAATATCACCACAATCAAGATAATAACTGCATCCATCACTCCCCAAGGTCTCCTGTTCCTATCAATAATTACCCCACACCTCCTCTTTCCCATCCACAAACTGGTTTTTGTCCCTATGGGCAAGTTTGCATGTTCTGAGTTTTGTGTGAGTAGATCCACACAGTGTCTGCATTTTTCTGCCTTTCACCCCACATAATGTCATGTTTGAATAAGTCAATAGACCATTCCTTTTTGTGGCTGAATAGTATTCGTTATATAGAGTTATCAGTTTGTTTATCCATCCACCTATTGGTGAGCATTTGGACTGTTTCTGTTTCTAGTCTTTTGCTATGACATAAGTGTTCATGTTTTTTAAAAAATTAAAACCCAATATCTCCGCCCAAGGCTGAAAACTCGGAGATAAATGAAGAATATCAAATATGAGTCACACAGAGAAAATTCTCTAAGCATGACAGCATAAGGAGGTCCTGGACCCATTCCCCAGGAAAACTGATAAAAAGTATTTTTAAAAGAACCATTTTAAAGTCTATGGAAATGGTCCTAAGGGCATACACTATATAAAGTAACATTTATAAGAAAATCTGCTAAAATGTGGCAAGAATAGATCGGTTCCATTGTACTTGAACTGAGACCCACTTCTTCCCTCCTCCCCCCAGCTCAGCAAAGCAGAGACTCCACTCCAGATTGCCAGAGCCAAGAACTCAGGGCTCCCTCTCTCTCTCTAACTCCCAGCTGGAGAGCTTTCTTCCTGGAAAAGGCAGAACTTCAGCATTTATCATCCTGTCCCTAGCTGCCTGTTACAGAGACCAAGTCTCAGATGAGTATGGCCCAGAGGTGATGCCTCTTTTCTGCCGAACTCCCACCAAGAATGAGGCTCTATCTCAAGTGTGGTGTTGCTGAGAATACTGGGGCCTGATCTCCTTGGCCTAGTTCAATTAATATAATGATTTGATGCCATGAAGATCTATGTATCCTCTCCTACTACAGCAAAAGAGCATGGGGTGTCACACAGAGAGAAGCTTGCCATGGCCCCAACTAAGCCTCAGAGTTCTGAGATTTTGCCCGAGGAATAAGCATGCCATAAAACAGATGGTTCTTGATGTCCTCTCAAAGAAAGTGACTTCATTTGCAGCAGAGTGTTTGCAAGTTCCAAGTTTCATTCGACATGAAATAAAAGACACCCACATTGGGAAGGAAAACATAAAGCTGTACCTATTCACAGATGATACGATCTCACAGAAAATCCTAAGGAAACTACTAAAAAAATGATAGAACTAATAGACAAGTTCAACAAGGTAGCAGGATACAAGATTAATATACAAAAGTCCATTGTATTTTTAAATACTTGCAATTAACAACCTGAAAATAAAAGTAAGAAATTTATTCCATTCACAAAGGCATGAAAAAGAACAAAATACTTGGGAATAAATTTAATGAAGGAAGTGAAAAACTTGTATTTTGAAAACCGTAAAACATTACTGAAATAAATTAAAGAATACCTAAATAAATGGGAAAAAATTCCACGTACATAAATCAGAAGACTTCATGTTGTTAAGATGGCAGTACTCCCAAAACTGATCTCAGATTCAGTGCAATCCCTACCAGAATCCCAGCTGACATTGTAGAAATTGACAAGCAGATTTGAAAATTCATATGAAACTAACAATTCCAAAAAAGAATAACAAAGCAGGATTCGGTGTCCTGATTCCAAAACTTTCTGTAAAGCAATGGTAATCAGGACAGTGTGGTACAAGGGATGCCTGCGTGGCTCAGCAGTTGAGCATCTGCCTTTGGCTCAGTGTGTGATCCCGGATACCAGGATCAAGTCCCACATTGGTCTTCCTCCATGGAGCCTGCTTCTCCATCTACCTGTGTCTCTGCCTCTCTCTCTATGTCTTTCATGAATGAATAAATAAAATCTTAAAAAAAAAAAAGAATGTGGTACCAATATAAGAGTAGGCATAGATCAATGGAATAGAGTTGAGAGTCCAGAAATAAACCCATGTGTCCATATCAATTTATTTTCAATAAAGGTGACAGGACCATTCAATAGGGAAAGAGTAGTCTTTTCAACAAATAGTGCTGAAACAATTCTATATTCATATGCAAAAGAACAAAGTTGGACTCTTATTTCATATCATATACAATAATTACCTCAAAATGGATCAGACCAAAATATAAAAGCCAAAACTATAAAAATTCACATAAGAAAGCATAGAGGTGAATCTTCCTGACCTCATATTTGGCAATGGTAGTAGACATGACAACAAAAGCATGAACAAAAAAAAAAGAAAAAGAAGAAAAAATAGTAACTTGGATAAGTTAGGCTTAGTCAAAATTAAGAATTTTTTTTATTAAGAACTTTTATGCTTCAAAGAACAGTATCAAGAAAGTGAAAAGACAGCCCACAGAATGGGAGAAACTATTTGCAAGTCATATATTTGATAAGGGACTTGCATCAAGAACATACGAAAAGCAGTTTAGCAACGCCTGCAGCCTGGGGCATGATCCTGGGGACCCGGGATCGAGTCCCATGTCGGGCTCTCTGCGTGGAGCCTGCTTCTCCCTCTGCCTGTGTCTCTGCCTCTCTCTATATATGTCTCTCATGCATAAATAAATGAAATCTTTAAAAAATAAAAATAACTATTTAAAAAAAGAATATATGAAAAACTCTTATAGCCAAATGAGAAAAATAAAAAGTATCCAATTAAAGAGGAATAAATATTTCTCCAAGGGAGATCTATAAAAAGCCAATAAGCAAATGAAAAAAATTCTCAATATTATTAGTCATTGTGGAAATGCTAGTCATAACCACAATGTGATACTGCTTTATACCCACAAAAATAAAAGGCAGATAATACCAAGTGTTGGTGAGGATGTGGAAAACTTGGAACCCTCATTCACTGCTGGCGGGAATGTAAAATGGTACAGTCACTGTGGAAAATAGTCTGGCAGTTTTTCAAATGTTTAAACATAGAGTTACCATATGATTCAGTAATTCCACTGCTAGATACACGCATAAGAGAAATGAAAACATGTCTACAAGTAAAATTGTATATGAATATTCACAGCAGTATTATTCATAATAGCCAAAAGGTAGAAACAATCCAAATGTTCATCAGTTGAAAAACAAATAAACAAAAAAAAAAAAAGAAAAACAAATAAACAAAATTTGGTATACCCATACAATGGAATATTATCTAACCTTTAAAAAGGAGTGAAATACTGGGGCACCTGGGTGGCTTAGTCGATGAAGCATCTTCCTTCAGCTCAGGTCATGATCCCGGGGTCCTGAGATGGAACCCCACATCCGAATCCCTACTCAGCAGGGACTCTGCTTCTCCCTCTCCCTCCACCCCTCCCCTCCACTTGTGCTCCCTCTTACTCTTTCTGTTAGATAAATAAAATCTTTTAAAAAATAAATAATAAAATAAAAGAGATGAAGTATAGAAAATACTACAACATGGATGAACCTTGAAAACATTATGCTAAGAGAAAGAAGCCAGTCCCAAAAGACCATATATCCTATGATTTCACTTATATGAAATGTCCAGAATAGGTAAATCCACAGAGAGAAAGTAGATTAGTGGTTGTTTGGGGTTGGGAGCATGGAAGGACAGTGAGTTGATAGTTGAAGGGTGCAAGGTTTCTGGGGCTCCTGAGTGGCTCAGATAACTGCCTGACTCTTGATTTTTAGTTCAGGTCATAATCTCAGGGTTGTGGAATTGAGCCCCAAGTCAGGCTCTCCACTCAGCAGGGAGTCTACTTGAGATTCTTTCTTGCCCTCCCCATCTACCCCTCCACCCTGCTCTCTCTTTCTCTCTCTAAGAATAA